GAATACCTTCAATCTTTGATTTTTTTGTACCGATTTCCAATGTTTTGCCTAAACATTTTTCCTTTTGGTCATTTTTCTCCAAAGCTTCTTCCTGATCTTTCTTAATGCTTTCCACAATTATCGAGACAACTTCTATTATTAATGTTCTTGGCCTTTTTCTTTCCAGTTTACTTTTTGACTTAGAGCATCAACTACAACATTTACTTTACCAGGGTGGTAAAGTATCTCGCAGTCGTAATCCTTAATTAACTCTATCCAATGTCATGGTCTCATATTCAATTCCATTTGATCAAAGAGATACTGGAGACTTTTATGATTAGTGAAGAGTTTGAACTTTGTGTCATAAAGATAATGCCTCCATATCTTTGATGCGAATACTACTGTTGCCAACTCTAGATCATGAGTGGGGTAGTTCTTCTCGTTCTCTTTCAATTTTTGAGATGCATATTCTATCACCTTGTCTCTCTGGGTCAGAACACAACCTAACCTAACTCCATATGCATCACTATAGACTGCAAACTTTACAAATCCTTCAAGTTAAAAAGAATCGGTGCTTCACACAACTTCTTCTATAATTTCTTGACTGCTTCTTCATATGTATCACTCCATGTATATATTGTCAATGCAATCCTAAACGTATACAACTTTGAAAGCATACACATAGAAAAATCCATCCAATTATCAATTTCTAAATACAACTATAGCATAGCTTACATATTAGGGAAACATGTACTTGAGCTCGGCCGATTATGCGCATTGCACTCTCCCTTTTTCTTACAAAGAAATCAGTTTCAAGAAGTTTCTGACTTTTGATGTTTGAAAAATAATTTTACCATTTCGTCAGTTTGAGTTCTGACACACTCGAGAGTGTGCCCGAATTCCTCAAACCAAGGCTTTAATACCAATTTGCAATAGCCCAATTTTCAAATAAAAATTTTCATTTAAAATAAAAATCATGTTCCTTAAATGTAAGTTCCAACCATAATGTGTTTCACAAAAATCCATTACATCAATATAATTATTCAAAAGATCAAAGTGCCCATAACAAATTGCTAAAAAGTGCATGTCGTGCCATCATTTCGGGCCCTTACCCTTACACCCCAAAGTACCTGAATATAACCAACAAAACTGTAAGCTAGTGCTTAGTGAGCTTTTCCAAAATACCCAATACACAAATTCACAGAAAACATACAGTAGATATGCAAACATAAATTGCCATGGACTCCATCCATGGTCTTTACTTGGAATGTCATGGGCTCCCCCATGGTCTAATAACCAAGTGCCATGGGCTCCCCAATGGTCTTTACCTGGAATGCCCTGGGCTCCCCCCAGAGTCTGATAACCAGGGCCATGGACTCCCCCATGGTCTTCATATGAATCATTCCATACTATTAACCATACAATGCATATCAACCACTATAAACATATAAGAATATGGGCCGACATTGGTGCCTTCGACCCATTAGTATGATGAGAAGACTCACCTCAGTCAGCTGAACCCGAACACTTCTCACCTAACAGTCCGAACTTACACACTGAACCAAAATATCATAAACCTAAATTAGGATTACAACATAATCTAATTAAAGAGTCCAAACACCTAAGCCCAAGTCCTTCCATAGTGGCCCAAAAGTCTTTCCTTAGATAATAGGCCTAAGGTCCATGATAAAACTATTAATGGGCCATATAGCCCAATAAGGCCCTACTAATACAATTATGGCCCAACTCAAAATATTATCCCACAACTCTTAATGGGACCAGGCCCAACACTTATCAAATCACATTACACCATCAAGCCCATACAAAGCACAAAATCCCACTGGAGTGCGTACGCCCTGCGTACCACTCCAATACGCACAGCATATTTGACTGAGAAGCTGTACGCGCAGCGTACAACTAGTTACGCATGACGTACAAACAGATTATGAACTAAACGACCATTAAGTGCTTAGTACTCCAGTTCTCAACGTTCAACTTCAAATATGGACTTAATAAGATGTCCTAGGGCATAAAGTTGGAACCTTTATGCCCTTGCATGCCATGAATTACTCCAATAGTCCATACATTACATTAAGACATCATTTAAGATTTCTAACTTATGCATGGGGTTCAAACCATCATCAAGATGTCACCTTGTAACATCTCGAATCCCAGGTATTATATTTAATTAATTTATTTTCATGTTGTCAGAGCAACTCGACGAGTTGGAGGCCCCAACTTGCCAAGTAGAGAGTTAAATGGCCACATGATTTTTAGAGTCTACTCGACGATTTGGAGGACCCCCAACTCGACATGTAGGAGTTGAGTGTGAAACCCCTAATTTTCAAGGTTTGTACCCTATTTAAAGGAACTTAAGCTTTCATTTCCACCTCCCTTATCATCTTGACCCTCTGTGAGAAAACCTAATCGAGTTGTATTCATTTGTGTGTGTGTGTGTGTGAGAAAGAGAGAGAAAGGCTAAGATTATATTTTCTAGTGCATTTTTGGAAGGGGGCTGAAGAGCAAAAGGCCTGGAACGAGAAGAAGCAATTAGATTCGGGGTTCTATCAGTGCTAGCTGCTATTTGGAGGTAAAAAGCTATCACCTTGATCATTGTTTGGTTAGATCTCTTTACTAGGAGTTTATGGTCATTTCCATCTTTTCTTTGGGTCCTTAAGTTGTTTGAGCTTGCCATGGAATTGTGACTTCAGATCTGGACAGTGTGAGGTCCCTTGGGCCAGAAGACTCGAGCTTTATCAAGCTATTAGCCAACTTTCATGCATTAAACCCTCTATAGAGCATATTTTGTCATTTTGAGACCTAGATGCCATGCATGGACGTAAAGCTTGCAACTCTACGTGATACTTCAGCCTTAGAAGGCAAGATCTAGAGTATGAGGCCTTAGCTCTGCTTAAAAACGTCTGAATGAAAGAATAACTGAAGGGACTCGACGAGTTAATGAGCCAACTTGACAAGTTAGCTATGGTTTTCCCCAACAGTCTGTACGCTTTACAACTCGGCAAGTTGGTGAGACAACTCGACGAGTTGAGTTGTATTTTCCCGATACTTTATAGAAAACGAAAGAGCTCGACGAGTCGCATAGATGCACTCGACGAGTTGGGTCAACATGGACAATTAACTCGAGTGTTGCCTTCCGTTGACTTTTAGGGTTTGGTCAAGATATGAATTGTGAAGACCATGGAGGGGTAAAATAGTCTTTCACCCTTTCCGAGAGTGAAGAAAAAGGTTAGCCTAACTTCTTAGAGTTGTGATTATAAGTGTTAATTAGAGATGATTATATTATGTAGGCAAAGTCTAGACTGTTCATGGGGTACTAGATATACTTGCTTTCTTACGAGGTGAGTCTTCTCACTATACTTACCTGAGTGGTAATACTGTATGACCGGAGGGTCTTATTTGAGTTATCGACTGGAGGGTATTATGTGCTTATACTGAGTTATGTGATATTAAACATTTTGTCTTTGTGATTTATGATATATATTATTTTGTGCCTTTCTGAGTTAGGACCGAAGGGTCCAAACCGAGTTGTGAGACCGGAGTGTCTTCACTGAGATACAGGACCGGAGGGTCCAACCCGAGCTGTGAGACTGGAGGGTCTTCACTAAGACACATGTCCGGAGGATCCATACCGAGCCATGAGACCGGAAGGTCCTCACCGAGGCGCATGACCAGAGGGTCCCTGCCGAGCTATAGCCATGAGAGGCTTATTATTTGTGTATGTGGTATTTTGGGGAACTCACTAAGCTTCGTGCTTACTATGTTGTGTAATATGTGTTTCAGGTACTTCCCAGGATCACGAAAAGGCGCCGACTTGATTGTACACACCTGTTCGAGATTATGTTTGAGGATTCTGGGATATTATCAGTCATTTTGTTTATTTGTGTTTTTGATAACCGATGCATTTGTGGTTTTTGAGAAATGTGATATTGAGTTTTACGTGGTTTAAAAAATGAAAATTTTATTTGAAAATTTAGAGTGTTACACACCTTTATGCATTGAACAAGTTGAAGGAGCTCAGATCTATCTATTCTAGTCTCTGGAGTTTCTCAACTCACAAAAGAATGTCTAAAAGCTAAAAAGGGACTCCATAACAAAGCTCAAAATAATGAAAAGGATGACAAGATTATGACTTTATACCTCCAAATTTTCCTCAAGATGTTCTAGATGCAGGATCTAGAAGCTCAATGACACCCAAAGCTTGAATACCACCTTCTCCTTTTTGAATGCTCTGTAAAATGTCCACCAACACACCTTGTAAGCTCAAGAACCACACTCACAAGGAAATATGAGGTTAAGAGACGATATAAGGCTATAAAGGCTGGTTATGATTTAGTCCCAATGATTTAAGGATGCTTAAATAGGTGTCAAGTCCAAAAATTAGGGTTTTGACCATCAGTCACGTACGCCATGCATACCCCATGGTATGCCCAGCACACGTGCCAACCCTCCGCGATCATCCATCCTTAGTACGCTAAGCGTACTCTTGGAGTACGCCCAACGTACTAAGGGACCATTATGCACTAATTTATATTTCAAGAATATAAAGGGGGTATTACCTAATTTGGAGTATTACACTTAACATCATCGTTTTATACTTTTATTCATACTTTTTATTATTTATTTTATATATTTATTATTTTATAATTAAATAATATCATATAAAATTAAAACAATATATTAATCACAAATTCTAAATTCCAAATTATATCAAGTTAAATATTAGAATATTAAAAACTTTAAATCTAAGTTGAAAATAATATACAAGAAAATAATAGTTAAATAAAAATTAGTATACTAAAAATAAAAGTAAAATATTAAACTATACAAAAATAATAAATAATAATTTTTTATGTAATTTTTTATTGAAAGACAATACAGCCTTTTCATATTTGAAATTATTATATTAAACTAATGCTTTTCTTTTTAACTTAATCAATTTGTATTTAAGTTCTAAATTTTTTTTATATATAAAATTTTCAAAAAGTATACATCATCAGTTACTTAAGAGACAAATCCATTTTATCTACCACGTGGCAAGGTGTAGATCTGACTGAAGATCTATATTATCCACATAACATCTACGTGGCGAGATGCTATTGAACATCTAATAACCCATGCAATCCAGAACCACTTGAATCTATCCTTCCACTACACCATATGATCAAAACTCCTAAACAACCCACCACCATTATCCATCCCTTCAATCGTTCTGATCAGAGAGAAGCACCGATGGCCGCTGCAACCTCAACCGTCGTCGGCTTGGCCACCTCCTCCCTCTCATCGCCGTCGTCACTCAACCGCAAGCAAACCACCTTAAATTCAGGTCAACGTCCACCACCTCTTCATCATATATAACGATAAATTGCAAGATTTATACACTGCATACTCATACTCTGATCATTTTCTGTTAATAATATCGATCTACATTCAATTCTTTCAAATCAAATAAGACTTTAACGACTTATAATGTCACGCATACTTATAAGAGGATCTGATGGTCTATAATATTAGTAATTATCAACTTATGATGTATATATGTTTTCTGATAGAAACAATAAATCCAAGTTATATTTTATTAACTATGGGTAATTAAACTGGTAAACTTATAATTTCTTAATAAAATGTCCTTTGTCAAATACTTATCAAATTTATTAATAATTGTATTTGTGTTTGTTTTCAGCCTTTTTGAGGTCTACAACAACAACAAGGAACCCTTTGAGGGTTTCACATGCTTCAGGTGGCAAATATACATGGTAAATAAATCTTCAAGTAATTCAAATATACAATATAAAACTTCAACTGAAAAATTAATGATATATAATTTTTATAAGTTGTATAACATTACATATATATTTGTGTTGATTTGTTTTGTTAATATAATGATATTAAACATTGTTAGCTTTGAAAGAGACTGGCTACGTAGAGACTTGAATGTGATAGGATTTGGGTTGATCGGATGGCTCGCACCATCAAGCATACCAGCAATCAACGGTGACAGTTTGACAGGACTCTTCTTTGGAAGCATTGGAACTGAGCTCGCTCACTTCCCCACTCCTCCAGCTCTCACTTCACAATTTTGGTTAGTTTAATTAAAACTTATATTATATAACCATTTGGTGTTAAATACTAATTACAAGTTTTTAATGGTTAAGATAAAGTAGGCTTTTGATTCTTTCGTATCAAAAAGTACAATTAATATTATAAATGTTGATTAAAAAGGCTATTATTATAATTATAGTATATTTGTGGATTTGGGATGTTGTAGTCATTGAAAGATATATTTGAGTGACTTCACGGCCATTATATAATAATAATAACTCAAATAACCCACTTATTCATAAATGGATCACAATGGTCATCTTTTAGCTTTTGTTTATGTAATTCTAAAAGTCATTATAATTCTTTTTCTTTAGAAAAGTTTCATGTGTAAATACATATTATTTGACAATAGGATTTGTGTTAATTAATATTTGTTTTCTTTTGATGGGATAGGTTGTGGTTGGTGACATGGCATTTGGGACTCTTTATATGCCTAACTTTTGGGCAAATTGGGTTCAAAGGAAGGACCGAGGATTATTTCGAGAAGTAGAGTGACTCCGTGTGTTTGTAAATTTCCGTTTCAAGTCCCTGATCTTTGTTGTTTGTCTAAATACCCCTCGTGAAGTTATGGTTTATCTGATCTTCCTTTGGTGTAATATATTTCTATTGTTGCACAAATATCAGTATAATTTTCACTTTAGAAATCTAAAAATTAAATATGGTTGGTCATGGTAATCTTCCAAATATGGTATTTGATTGATTAATGCCATTGGATTCTAGCATTTAATATGTCTTTAAAAAAATAAAGCGAATTAAATAATACATAATTTAATAAGAAGCAATGCAAGAGGCATGCACGCATGCACTTTCAGTGTTGTTTATGAAAGCCTACGTGGTGTTGCAAGATTAATAAAAGACATAAATTATAGAGTAAATTACACGGATAATCTTTGTGGATTGTGGTAATTTGTATATTTGGTCTCCAATTTTTTTTTTTTTAACTCGGACGGTTATTATAATTTGGTTTTGTTGCATCTTTGGTCCCTTCCAGATATAAAAAGATTATTTTACCCTTATTAATTTATTTTTTAACTTACTTACATCTTATATAATTATTAAATCCAATACGTCCCACCATCTCTTTACCACTCCACCAACTTACCCCTCGCCTTCTTCTTCCATTCCGACAATTCCTTTACACTGACATCTTTCAGACAATTCCATTCATATTACGGTACTCCGACATCTTTCCAGCAACAAATACAATCAAACCAAATACATTCAAAATATAATCAATACAATCGATAGAAATACAGTCAAAGAACAAGGAAACTAAAAATACATTCCTTGAAATTAAATCAGAATGAACCTCCTGAGACATAGAAATACATTCCCTCAAATTAAATAGGGAAAATGACACACACGCCCTATAAAGTTTATAGGGTTAATCTTTTTAGTCCCTAAACAATTTTTGTGGCCTTATAAGGGAACGAAGTTCTGTTTTTCGAGTCAATTACATCCTTTTGGCCAAAATGAAGGAGTCACCCGGTACTTCTTTCACACATTGTGAAAGTCAACTTTTCCCTCCCTCCCACTGAATTGTAATCGACTCCAGCACCCACCATCGTGTTCTCTTGGGCTGCCAACACAACCCACACCCACCCATTATCACTGTTGTTGCCGTGGATGGAGGTCGACATATTGTATGCCAAAATGACCCGCTTTCAAAGGATCAGCTCCAATCAATCTCTTGGATCTTCTAAACCAAGTCCTACGGTAGGCCTTGGGCTCAGTCGAGATATTTTTCAGTCGGCACAGCCCCGCTTTCAAAGGATCATCTCTAATCAATCTCCCTGCTGTCTGCCTCCTCACCGGAAAGTTCATCATGCCGGAGATTGTTAATCTGCAATAAATCTTAATTGCGCATGCAATTTCCCAATTAATGACAAAAAACACTTCCAGAAAGCACCATCACAACTAAAAGTTAAGTTAGTTCTCATATCACGAACAATACTATCACAGACAAAAAAATGCATCTTGGATGGCTCTTCAGATTTCCCCCAAATAAGTTAAAATAAAGAGAAACTTGATGCGTAATCGTAGTGGTATAAGTGATAGTAATTGCGTTACTTCACATTTGAGATCTACTGGATCTCTCATAACTCATTTTCATTTATCTCTTAGACCAATCAACGCCACCAAAAACTTAAACCAAAGTAGGGAATCAGCAATCAACGAAAGAAGAGACGATTAGGAGATGAGTGAGTGGGCTTCCTTAACCTGAGGTTTCCCAGGGACGACAGCGACACAATCCTTACACGCTTGAAGATTTTCATCTCCGATTAGAGGCCTTATGTGTACTGCTACTTTGACACAACAATCCTCCATAGTCGTGGGTGAAGCCGCTGTTTCCATCACATTAAAGCAACAGTAGAAGTAGATTTCTGCAAACAGCTACAGATTGAGAGAATGAGAAAGTAATTTCACAGCAATGGTATTCACCAAATCAGTTGTTTAGCTTACAAATATGAGATGAGATGCGATTAGAGAGAGAGATGGGTGGGTCCCAAGTTTTGTCTATATGTCCCTTAAACCGGCTAAAACAAATTAAGGGGACTAAAAAAATAGGTTGCTCACAACTTGGTTCCCTCATAAAACCACGAAAAAACTTAAATGACTAAAAGGGTCAACCCTAGAAACTTTATAGGGCGTAAGTGTCATTTTCCCAATTAAATATGATGAACCTCAATTCATGCACAAGGAAACCATCCTACATATATTTAATTAAAACAAACGTTTGACTTACACCAAAATCAAACCCTTAGACTTGATGAATCCTAATCAAAATTCTTTAAAATCAGACATAAAACATAAATCCCAAATTGAACCATTGGACTTGCACCATCGATCCAGAAATTGAAATGCTTTGTCGAGAAAATCAAATACATTGATCATGTCATTGACATCAATTGCACTACACTGGTCTTGACATGTCATATTCATTAGGGTTTGTTGGCAAAAGAAAAACTAGGTTCTTTAGGTTAGCTAGAGTTTGCTAGCTGGAAAAAACATGGCACATCTAGAAAATAAAAGTGTTGCTGGCGAGAAAGAGGAAGGAGAGGAAATGATAGATTTGGACAATCTACAGTTTCCAGCGAGATCGATGAACTCCGGTGAAAGGTTTTGGTGAAGGGCAGCAAACTTGTTTTAGTGATGAACTCACATGACTTCTTTTGGTGATGAACTACGACGATGAATTTTGGTGAAGTAACCTTCGATGAGAGTATGAAGAACAATTGGAGAGAGAGAGAGAGAGAGAGAGAGAGTGTGTGTGTGTGTGTGTGTAAAGTTTTAAGAAAGATCGCTCATACTCAAATAACTTTTTGTCTAGTATAATTATGAAAAATTAAAAATAAAATTAAATAAAAAAATTAATAAGGGTAAAATTATCATTTTATGTTTGGAAGGAACCAAAGACGTAACAAAACCAAACTATAAGGATCGTCCAAGTTAAAAAAAAAATAAATTAAGGACCAAACACATAAATTATCCCAAACCACAAGGACTATTCATGTAATTTACTTTAAATTATAAATATAAATAAAATCCAACTTGAATAGAATGACACCACTCCCAATGCATAATATAGAACTATATCAAAGCATAAATGATAACATTAATTCAAATTCCTAACTTGTAATCTCTTTATTTTGTAAAATAATGTTTCCGTTTGTTTTATTTTTAAAATATCAGTTTTTCCGATTGTAAAATAATGTTTCAAATTTTTTTACTTTATAATTGTCACTTTTCCCTCAACTCCTCTATTTTATAAAATAATAGTTTTCATCTTTTTATTTTTTTAAATGTTTTTGATTATTTTACTTTTCAAAAAATCATTTTATTTTGTAAAATAATATTTTCAATCATTTTTTTTTAAATATTATTTTCACCAATCCACCTTCAACTTTATAAATTATCAGTTTATCCCTTCGTTTTGTAAATTTTTGTGTTTATCCACCATCCTCATAGTATGTACTCAAATGCTAGTTACTTAACAAGAGTCAAATCACAAATGCAAATTAATAAAAGTTGTAGGGCAAAATATGTAATTTTTTGAATAGTATTGTATAAAATGATACATATTTATATACTAATTAAACTATTTGGCTAAAATTCATGACTTAATTTTTTGGGGGTTTGTATGGTCGCAAACCATACATCCCTTTAGGGTCGAGCCAATTTGGGATATAACACTATAAATGACAAGTTTTAAGCAAACCATGTGTAATTGGTGAGGCAAAGGAAGATATACATGAATCTCAAAAACTAAAACTGGACTTGATAATACTACGAAGCATTAACTTGATAACATTATGAAGCTAGGAAGCTTCATAAATTGATGTTGGGAAGCTTCTTGGACCGGTGATCATGAATAGGCTTTCCAAATTAAATCTCTTATTTTTTAACGTTGTTGCTCTACAACTTTAACATTGGCACCGTGATCACTTATAAAGGGATTGGTAAGCATTTTCAAAGGGAGTTTCTATCCAACTAACACTTGTCATTCTCTATTTTTCCTTTCTAAATGCTAATTACAATCAATCCATAAATTATCACTGTAAAACAAAGATATACAACATACACATACATTTAAATGAGAACAAAAGGAAAGTGTTTACAAACGATCATTCAAATAGAACCATCATCCATTGACACCACTCGTGGTTACCGGTGAACTGAAGTGAAACATCGGTGAAGATATGGGTTATCGAATTGCTACAACCACCCACTATTGATGCGTCAAATTCACCTTAACGTGATTTATGGCTGTACTTTTTGTCTTCTCCGATGATCATCATTCACCCACCCATAAAACCATAGTTAACCACCATCACTACAACTTATTCCTCCATTTATATTTCAGATCTCTTTCAAACAAATAGTTTTTACTTAAATATCGATTCCATTTTGTTCACGATATTAAATAATCAAACATGTCAAAAAAAGTCTAGCTTTTAATTCCTGATTTAGAGAAATGAAAAGACACAGGAGAGACATATTGGGGTTGGGAAGGGAAAACACGAGGAAGAAGATGATGAGCAAGTGCAAAACATCAATCTAACACATCTTCAAAATACAATATTTAGGTTCATCTTTAAGCTATGTGTTTGTCTATAAAATCCAAAGCAACTGTTTTTCTTTTTGGTGGTAATGGATGAGAGAAAGAAATAGACCAGGGAGTTAAGGGTAGGTGATTTAATAAAGCAGATGATGAGAGAGGCACTACAAGGATCGAACCCTTGCAGACGATAATTATGGACATTGTACCGACGACATGTCGTCAATAAAGTTATGCAGACAACATTTTGTCTGTAAAAAGTTGTTGGCATAGCTTTGTCGGTAAAAGTCGAAAATGTCGTCCGGACAGGAGTCGTCGGTACATAATAACTAATCCAGACGGCATGTCGTCGTCAAATGGTCGTCGTGATTGATTTTCGATGAAATAAGAAAAAGTTTTATTCGGATTCTATCCCGACGACTTGTCATCTGGAAAAGTTAAACCAATACGGATGACTTGTCGTAGGGAAAAGTAATAGCAATACCGATGACTTGTCGTTGGGAAAAGTAGGTGCCAGCCAACTTCCGTTCTAGTAATACCGACGACTTATCGTCGGGATTGGTAAAACCATTTTTACAGTTATAAAGCTATACCAACGATATGTCATCGGTATAGCCTTTTATATATATATATATATATATATATATATATATATATATATATATATATATATATATATATATATATTTCACAACTTTTGTTACATATAACAAATCTATTTTTTTAAAACAAATCCAAAAAGGATATTTGCAGAATAATATCGAACACTTAATAAACATAACATACATTTAAAATTCAAATTCATATTCTACCACATAACAAAATAACAAAAAAAAAGTTTTAACAAACATTGTTCTCATTATCATTCTAGTTCTCCTCCTCCTCCTCCTCCTCATCATCATCATCATCATCATCATCAT